GGAATTTATATTCATATTTTGGGTTAATTTCATATGCCTGTGGGAATTTTTGGTCTGGGAACAATTTGGCTAATTACTATTGCTCCAGTTCACTGGGGTGTTTTCTGATGGGATTGGAAGAACATGGGATTATTTGCCTTTGTGAAATAAATATTATTGAGCTCCAATTGTTTGCAAGCATGTTTCCAGACGCTACATAGAGAAATGTATTAGTTTGCTGCCGTGACAGAATCCCACAGACTGAGAGACTTCAACTGTGAGAAATTTATTTTCTCAGTTTGGAAGCTAAAAATCTGAGATCAAGGTGTTGGCTGGGTTGAATTTTTCTGAGAGCTTTCTCTTTAGCTTAAAATGTCTTTCCCTGTCCTGTCCTCATAGGATCTTTCCTTTGTATTCATACATGTCTGTGTGCAAATTTCCTTTCTACAAGGTCTTACACCACTCATACAGAATTATGATCTCAATTGAATGTAATTACCTTTGAAGACCTTATCTTCAGATATGTTCTACCTTCTGAGGCATTGAGGGTTCGGACTCCAACATGCGTTTGGAGGGAACATAATTCAATCTATAACAGAAAGAGATTATATGAGCCAGAAGATATGACCCACAAACCCACAGAATTTACAGCCTAGTGGCAATGCAAGAAATTAACAGTTGATGATGATTCAGTGTGATAAATACCAAAACAGAAAGAAATATAGATGTGTGCGGGGACTATTCTAGTAGGAAGTGATATGTAAAGTCAAGTCTGAAGTATGAGTGGGGCCTGGCCAGACAAAGGGTAGAGGTTGGTGGAGGAGGTCTGGGAATGAGGAGAATATTCTAAGCAAGGGGAACAGCTTATAGAAGACTCAGAAGAAGGAAAAGAATAGGCTGTTTGGAAAACTAAAAGCATTGATGTGACTGAAGAATAATAAAAGCTGTACTTTTTTTTAATTCTTTTTTTTTTCATTTATTTTTTATTTATACATTAGCTGGGGTACAGGCCATATGTGCGGGAGGGTGAGAGAATTCACCAGGGACAGAGCAGGGAGCAGACAGGGAGGTCTGCCGCGCCATGTGGGAATCTCCCTGGCCGGCCCGGAATCGAATCTGCGCTGCAGAGACTGCAGAGAGCTTCACAGCACTGTGCTCAACCCGTTGCGCCACCGGGGAGGCCCTAAAGGCTATGCTGTTAATTGAATGTTTATTCTGTGCAAGCTTGGAGCGGTTATGTCAGTTGTTCAAGGTAACATAAATAAGTAAATTGTGAAATAGGCTGGCAAACTCTAGAAACAGCATGATCGATTTCCATGGGTGGGTGAGTGAGATTGTGTGTAACTGGGGGAGCAGTAAAGGTCTAGGCACAAGGCAGGATCTTGATAAAGAACAATTATTACAAGTAGATTGTCCTGTCTGTCCCTTCAAATATACATGAAAACTCTTTTTTTAATTTATTTATTTCTTAACTTTAATATTTGGGTTTATATTTTTGCCATTCCATATGTATATATGTCCATGAAAACTTTCAATGACTGCATAGTTAGGCATCTTTAGAAAACCCCAAAGTCAATATCTGACTTTTAATTTTTAACAAGATTCTTTTGAGCTTTTGATTTACCAATACCCTTGTTTTCCATTCCATGTGCTCTAAGAACTAAATATATACTTTTTTTTTTTAAAGCACACATCTTAACCTTAAATCGCCTCACTCCTAAAACCTGTTTAAAGAAACCAACTAGGGAAGAAAAGACTAGAACGGAAATATTGTTAATATATGTCACTTCCAACCAGTCAGGCTCCTAACATCGGCAGTTACTCCAGGAAATTCGAGGTGAATATACTATTCCACAATCAACAGGTTTAAAAGAAAACTAAATTGCAAGGAATATCAGTTATCATCAACCATTTCAAAGGCCAAGAAACTTGGAAAATGACTCACAGTCAAGCCATCAGCAAATTCTGTTGGCTCTAGTTGTAATATATATAATTTTTTTAAATTGTAAACTCCCAGGTCCATGCCCAGACATGTAAGAATTCAAAAACATTTAAGGACAAGAATAGATCAGGAGCGTCTTCCTTGTCTATAAAATATAAAATTCAGGACAGGTACTGCCGTCACTATCAAACAATTCATTCAATTATGTTACCAGTCCCAGAGTTGCTTTTCTTTCTTTTTTTCTGTCTTCATTATTTTGTTTTAAACTGAGCTCTAAGTGGCAGTGAAATAGATTCTAAAAATCTATTCCCACTAATTCTTTGTCACCTCCCTAATCTAAGACCATTATTACTTCTCACCAAGACTATTTCAATAGACTCTGTTTCTCTGTTTCAACCTTTACCCTCATGCCAATCTATTTCCTACACATCAACCAGAGTGATCTGTGAAAAATGAAAGTAAAATCGTGACATAAGAAGATATGGTATATATGCACAACAGAATACTACTCAGCCATAAAAAACAAAAGATGAACTCTTTCCATTAGCAACAACATGGTTGGAACGAGAGGGGATTATACTCAGTGAAATCAGAAGGAGGAAGACAAATTGCAGGATGATTTCACTCAGATGTGATTATAGAAAACCAAAATAAAGAAAGTGTCAAAGCTAATCCAAAACAAAACCCAGAATTATGAGTATAGAATTGAGGTTACAAAGAGGGAGGGGACACAATGGCCTAGAGTAAAGGATTATGGGTACTTTGGTGGTGGCGGTGGGGTGGTGACATACATCAGAAGGTGTGACGCTTCCCCTAAATCATATACAGTGTTGTCAGCCAAGGTCACTGCAGTACAAGAAAAAATAAAATCACAGCACTTCTCTACTCAACTTGCTTGCCTTTCACCCTGAATGGTCAAAAGCCCTGACCATGGCTTTTGGGTAACAAACAAAAGTTTGCACCAGAGTTCACTTTAGTCTGGGAGATTCTAGATCTATACCCACAGAATTTGTGTAGAATCATGGCAGCCCTGGAGCATTTGGGCAAAGCACTGAAGGTATCATACCTTATAATTGATGTCTTGAGACAAAATCCAGAGCTTCCAAGTTTTAAGATTGAAAGGAGAATTTCTAGGGACAGGGGATAATTAATCACATCCACTTGCCTCCGTGAATGTTACTTTACATTTCTTTTACTTTACATTTATTCCACTGTTGCCACTAACAAGCTGGTGGGACTTTGTGATCTCATTTTGTAAATGGAAATATTAAGTGCACCTAACTCCAAGAGTTGTGATAAATCTTTGAGTTATAAGTCAAATATTTTATGAGTATAATATACTTAGAACAAACCCTGGTGCACAGTAAGTGGTTAGTAAATATTAGCTATTCTGAGAACAAATCTAGCTTGGTACCTAAGCGTCGTTATTGCGTGCATCTAATATCACAGGTCTTATTTGAGATAATAGCTAACCCCATTTACTTATCATGGTTCACAAGCAGTTGTTTGTGGGCAAAATTAAAGATTAGGTATGAACAAACTTCCGCCAAAACAGCTCGATGACAAGGTAATGTGATCCAAACTCTCTCTGCACACACTGAATCATGTCATAGTAACAGGGTGGTGCCCAGGAAAAAGGGAAGATTCCAGATTCCCTGCCCCATCCAAGGAAGGATGGAGCTGAGCAGAGAGGAGGGGAAGCTGGAGAGGTGACTGAAGAAAGAAGGAGGAAAAATAGAGATCAAGAAGGAGACCTGGAGGAGGTACATGGAGCAGAGAGACATGTTGAAGAAGCTGTGCTTGCTTCTTGGTCCTGAGCTGGTTGAAGCAGACGTGGGTGAGAGACCTGCGGGGAGGTTGACAATGGCAGCTTATATCTTGATTTTGCTCCTTCTGTTCCAGATGTGCTGGGCCCCTTCTGTCCTGTTCTTATGGGTCCCAGGAGGTGCCTTAGACTTGTGGCAGGCTTTTGGGCCTCAGTGGCCCTGTTTTGGGCCAACCCTACTTAGTTGGGCATCTACCCAGGGAATGGGTAACTTTGGGTGCTTGATTTGGAAACTTTATTCTTCCCCTTTTCTTTGTATGCTAACTGTATTAACGTTCCTTTCCATTAAAGGTTTTACACACTAGAGTATATTTTGTCTTGATGTGGCGGATGGCAGAACCTATTTAGAATGGGCAGGTTTGGGAGTTCTGATGGGCCCTTCTCTCTGCTCTGTAACATCTAACATGACACTGTCCCTTCTGTGACTATTGCCCACCTTCTCAACACCATGCCTTCCACCATCAACTAGCCACCTTGCAAAGAACCTATATTTTTTCTTCTTTTTTTGTTATTGAGGTAACAGTGGATTATAATACTGCATGATTTAGGGGGATAGTTTCATACCTCCTCAGATGTACCTCACCATACCACCCCCACTACCAAAGCACCCCTATCCCTTTACCATAGGCTATTAGGCCCTCTCCACCATTGTTTCCAGCCCCACTCTCCCGCCCCTGCCGAGTAACCTCAGTGCTGCAGTCATAGTGCTAGGGTTTATTTTAGTGTAGTTTTGTCAATTCCTTTGTTTTGTCTTTCTCCTTCTGATATATTTCAGTTAGCATTAATTTCCTCATGTTCCATCCACATTGTTGCCAACGGCAACATTTCATCTCTTCAATAGCCGAGTATTATTCCATCATGTATAAGGACCACACCTCAAAATATTAAAAATTGATTTACCATATGATCCAGCAATTCCAATTCCAGCTTTGGTACTTATCCAAAAGATTCAAAAACACTAATTTGTGGGGCTATATGAGTTCCTTTGTCAATTGCAATCTCCAAGTTATGGAAGCAAACTAAGTGGCCAATGACAGATGAATTTGTGAGGCTATATGAGTTCCTTTGTCAATTGCAATCTCCAAGTTATGGAAGCAAACTAAGTGGCCAATGACAGATGAATTTGTGAGGCTATATGAGTTCCTTTGTCAATTGCAATCTCCAAGTTATGGAAGCAAACTAAGTGGCCAATGACAGATGAGTAGGTTAAGAAGAACCTGTACTTATATGTCATATTTTCTCTCCTCTAGGTCCTGATAAGTAACAACCACACACAGGATAAGTTTAACTAAAGGAGTCAATGGCCGGTATTGTTTGCTTATTTATCTTTTGTATTTGTTTTGCCAATACTGTTTCTTTATAAAACTCTGCAAAATTTGCTTATTAATAAGGGTTTCCAGAAGAGGCAATGCCTTAAGTAAAAGATTTTTCCAATAACAGAGAGGTTTGACATGGTGGTTTGGGAGGTGTTTTGTTTTGTTTATTCTATATTTTATTACATCATGCTCTAATTTAAAAATGTACTACTTGTTATGGCCAGGTATTTTTTGTTGCTCTTTTTATTACATTTTTTTTTGAGATTTAAGAGACATACCTGCAAAACCCACCATTTAAAGTATATAATTTAGTTTTCTTTAAAATTATGTTTATTAGGTAGTGCAACAATCACCACTGTCTAAAATTTTTTTGTCCTTCCAAATGGAGAAATATTCGTGAACAGGAAAATCTTTTAACTTTGTGTCTTAAGACAAACTACTTTACTTTATAAAACGGTGCTAGAAAAATAATGAATTGGAATGCCCTGCAAATTTAGAATTCTCTTGAGTAAGAGCAACACCCAAGGCAATCATACAATAATATATATCTTCCTACAATTGAATTGATTACATAGACTAACTGAATCGATCACATTCACAATTAAATTGATTACATTTACAAGAACACTATGATAATAAATGATTTACAAGTATTTTGCTTTGCTGAAGAAAAGGGAGTAGGTGGGATAAGAAAAGTAGGGGAAAAATACATACTTTCCACACAGTTTAAAATAATTAACATGTTCTTTATATTCAGGCAGGGTAGTAAAGAAAGGGCTGGGTGGTTGTATTATTTGGAATTCTCTTGTATGCAAGCAGTGTGAAGTCAGCACTAAGAAAAGAAATGGAGAGAAAAAGGAGCGAGAGACAGAGGCAGATTTTTTTATATAGGCAAGGACATGTGTCAGGGGCTGGAACTAAACCCTATAGTGTCTTATTGAATCAAGGGAATACTTTGCATTATTTCTCATCTGCCACTTTCTCTCTACCCGCTCACCAACTTTCTCTGTTTCTCAAACCACATGGCAAAAAACCTAGCCATCAAAACAGCCTAAGTTTTTATTAGCTTATAGGTCCAGCCACCTGGGGAAAGAATTTTCCAGCTCCCAGGGACTGGGATGGATCCCATTTGGAACAGGTGTCCCTAGCAGAATCAATCTGTTGGAAATGATTTAGGTAGACTTCAGGGGTAAGGAGAGCAGGAAAGAGTTTCCAGGAGAAGAGAAACTTGGACAAATTGACTTTGACTTTCACTACAGTCACCTTTGTGGTCTTAGCCATCTCATTAAGATTGTTTCTGTTTAAATTCTTACTGTTCCCGACCCTATCACACCACTAGCCATGAGAAAAAAATATATTTACCCTCTTGTTGAAAATTAATTCCAGTCAACACACCCAATGTCTAATATCCAATTTGAAGAAAGTAGAGGAGCCTAATCATGCATGGTAGACAATGTATTGTCTATTGAACCTATTCTTTCAATGAACTGCATTGAAGACTGATGAGGAAATAGCACTCAGGAGAAGATAACAAAAGCTCTATTACTCCCATGGTCTCGGATATCTACTCGTTTTCCATCCCATCATTTAAATAATGAAGAACCATTGAGGTTTGAAGTCAGAAGCTCCTATTTCCCAGCTATAAGCTTGAAAGGACACAGAACAAAGTTCTCATAAGATTTTGCAGAAAGCATTCTTCCTGGGGTTTCATTTTAATTCTTAAAATAGGTTTCTGTGATTATCATATTTTGCCTGAAGAGGGGTTTTTCAAATATTTATGAAAAGTAAAGGGCCAATAAAAATGTATGTGTGCAACCTCATTAATAATGAAATTAATGAAAATTAAAGCAAAACCATTGGTTAGGTCAATAATTTGGTAATAAATTCGAGGACGTGATCATTATTTCTGATTGATGCAGATATGCTGAAAGGGGCACTGGCAGGCTCTGCTGAGGGGTGAAGATCGGCACAAACTGTCTAGAGTAAATTCGGCTGCTATATTAAGTGCTTTGATTTTCTTTAGGTTTTTCTTTAAAGGGAAATTATCCACAAACACACAGATATTATGTACAAGTGTGTTCATTACGATAATGTTTTGGTAACAAATGTCAAAGAGAAAGGCAAAAAAAAAACAATATCAAGTAGGAGATGATTAAAGGACTAAGTAATGGCTTAGCAATGCAATATGATACCACGCAGCTATTTTTTTAAATATTTATTATATATACATTTTACATCCTTGCTATTTTTGTACTATGTATGTCTGCTCTCTCCTCTCAGATGCAGTCCCCATAAAATTCCCACCACCAAGTCACCCCTGAACCATCACCATAGCCCCTTGCCATGTGTTTTAAATGATGCAAAACATCACCGTGGTATTTACATCAAGGGAAACTGAAAACACTCAAACGCTCAACGGTAAGCTCTTTGATAAAACACAGTACACCCAAGAGATGAGGCATGGAGAAGGTTATGGTACCTTGTGAAGTGAAAAAAGTCAGATTCAGTCTATTCCTCCTGGTGTATGTTATATAGAAAACAAAATTAAAGAATCACCCCGCTGTTTTAATAGTGGTTATTTCCTGCATATCAAATTACCTACTTTTTATAGTCATTTTGATATTTTTTGTATTTTCTAATTTTATGTATAGCTCATATATATCATTTGATAACAACTATGTATAAAACTGAATTGATATCCAGCTGCTCCCAGCAATTTGCTAGCCAAATTTACACATTCACCAAAATGACCCTTATCACAAAAAATTATTTCCTGATTATCAATAATAATAATAATTAATAATAACTGCAATTTCTTATTTTGCAAGTTCTTATTCTTTTTTCTCCCTTAGCTACAGTCAACAGCACTTTTATCTTTTTGCTTTACCCTGAGATCTGGGATACTATTATTTCTCTTTCCTTTAGCTGTTCCTTTTCTCCCCGTCACTAAAATTTCTCCCGTTCTTTAATTGTGGGGCGGCTCTTAAACTTAGCCTTTGGCTTTGCTCCCTTTTATAATTGTCCCCAGACAGGAGAATAGGCCCCAGGCCCCTTCAGCCTGATTCCACGCTACCCCACAAAGCAGGCGAATGAGCTGGCAGCGCCCAACTGCTGTCCACCGCTCCACCTGCTGGGAGTCAAGGGGCTGGACAGAGAGGCCCCGCCCCAGGCCAGGCAATGGGCTCTTGAGACCCGGTGGTGAAGCCTAAAAGAGGACTCCACAGACACTGGTGAAGGTAGCGAGAAGTCAGGGTTTATTGATTGGTGACGAGCATTAAAGAAGTGCTCAAGGGAGACCGCTCTGGGCGTGAGAGAGACTGGGGAGAATGATTGGGGGCTAGGGGTCTGTGTAGGTTTTAGGAATGGGGTTTGAGAACAAAAATGAACTTTATTGCCTGAGACAGCAAGGAGAGCGGACTTGGCTGCAATCTATTCGCCGTTGCTAATTGTGAGCACCCTCAGCTGCAGCCTGGGGTCCTGAGCACCCACAAGGTGAGCATCTCACAGAGGCGCTGAGCCCGCAGCTCCAGCTTGAACTGGTCTCGCTTCAAGGTATGTGACTCCCATTTTCTTCTGTGTCTTTTAACTTTCCTTTTATACAGCAGCCAACTTGATAAACTCTGGGCAGAAATCTCAGAAATTGTGAAAAACAAACAAACAATGAACCAAGGACATTCATAGCAGCAGGTCCTGGCCTAGAGTCATTATGTTTTTAACCTCTTGTTTACCAGCTCATGGGTACAGCAAAATTCCTGCCAATTTTTGGCCCTTGATTCCTTTCCTGAATCTGTCCGGAGATCCTCCCTTTCTCATAATCACCTTTAAAATGAAGTACTCCCGCACAGCCTGCCTTTCCCCAATGACCTCTTGATAGCCATGATGAACACTCTTAAGTCTAGCGTTGCCTCCATTCAATAAGAAGTTGGCAAACAAAGAGGATGCCTGCTGTGAAGCTAGTTTACCACATGTGTCCTCAGAGCTGTGTTTGCAGGCGGCACATCTTGCCGGGCAGATCAATGATCCCGATTCCTCCTTCCTGCTTTGCCTGTTGCTTTGCTTGCTGGAAACTTCGCTCTTAGTGGGGTCCCTCCTGCTTGGCTGGAGTTGCCTTTCAGCTACTACTTGGTGGACTTCGCTATCATATGTATGTCCATGGACAATTCCCTTCTCCTGATTGTTATGATCACCCAATTAAAGAAATGACTTTCAGATGTAAAGGTCTAGCACACATTTCTCACTTTCTCTAGATTTATGTTATCATTTTCTTCTAAGCATTTCACTTAAGCATCGACCCCTGAGGTTGTACCTCTCAGTAATTGGCTAGGTTGTCTTTCCTCACCTTGTCAGTATTTCTGCTAATTACTGACACCCCTATCATTTGATATGCTTGATCTAGTATAAATATTGGCATGTATTTTCTGAGTCATTCTTGATTATTCACCCATAGTCCACATGTTTCCTCTTTTCAGGGTCTTGAGAGTCTTCCTGTCCTTGATAATTCTGATCTCACCATCTTTAGTGAACAGCATCAGCCTCTTTGTTTCTCATTTCTTCTTATGCAAAATTCTTCAAGTAATTTTCCTTAAACACAGTTTCCATCATGACATCTCCCTTTTCAACGTTCTGTGCTGGCATTTGGTGGCCTCATCAAAACAGATTCAATAACCCTCCAGCCAACACAAGACTGCTCATTCATTTCCTCCTTTACATACCTCCCCAAGCTTATTTTATGTTATTTTCTATTCCAGTTCTTCTGCTCTATTCAAAATTATCTACATTCCTTCTCTTGCACAAATATTGTTTAAGAAAAGAGCAAACACATGAAGCATCTCTGCCTGAGTGGTCAGCGTGAGAATATAGGAATCAGCATTCACAGATTTGCTTCCAGCCATACAGGTCACTGATGTGACCTTATTGAAGTTACACCTGTTAGCTGTTCTATGTGTATAAAGTGAGATTAGTGGTACCAGCTTCTCACTTCTTGTGAGAACCCCCTTATATAATGTATGAGAAAAAAAAATTTATATCAAGCTCTAGGCAACTGGCAAGAGTAAAGAGCTCAGTGGCCTGGACAGGTAAATATGCAGAGAATAATAGTCTACATTTGATATGATCTGATATTTTTTTTTTTTGCCGATTATATTTTTTGCCTTTATCTAAGGAAAATGAACATTGTACAAAGGGTGAACCTATTAATTAGAGACCTGCACAACTTTCTTTCTTGCTAGCATAATCATTAAATTGATTTTTCCAATCCATCATGTAATTGTTCCAGCGATGGAATCCTGCTTTCCACTCTCGTTCTGCTTCATCAGTATTTCCTGTTATTTCTAGCACTTTGGGAAAAAACAGTGTCCAGAATCAGCATTGTTGAGCATGTAATTTTGTGTGTACTCCTGGTGATTCTGCATTCAAGGTTAAATATTTTTGCTCACTGCTCTTGAAGACGGGCCATCTTGAGTTATTGCTCTGGGTCCCATCCAAATTTCAATAATTCACTGTAGTGCCAGGAAGGCACAGAGCAGGGTCTCCATGATTCCAGCAGACCAGACGGGTAAAGGAGAGTCCTGGAGCCCTCAGTGGCTTTCTCAGGCTTTTATTGAGCTTTTACATGTAGTGCAGCAACCAGGCACATGGCAGGCAAGTGATATGATCTGAATTTAATTGGAGAAGCATGTATCAAAATATTTTTTAATTCTTTTATTTAATTTTTTTAAGATTTATTTATGCATAGAAGAACTGGGGTGTAGGCCAGAGATGCGAGGAGTGGGTGAGAGGGTTCACTAGAGACAGAGTGGGGAGCAGAACAGGCAGATCTACTGAAATACACTACTAAGGGGAACAGCAGGCAAGACAGGAGAGGTCTGCTGTGCCACGTGGGTCAGCTCCCTGGCTGGGGATTGAACGCAGGCCACAGCAGTGATAGCCTGAGATGTAACCCCGATGCCACCAGGGAGGCCCCTAATTTAAATTTTTTAATTTAAAAAAGTCAATAGAAACATCTGACTTGCAGATGTTGTTTGCCTGGTCCTTGCCTTTGACTTGAGAATTTGTTTTCTGCTCAACATCTTGATTCATCGTGACAAGTAAATCTTGTCTTCTTAAAAGTTGGCAAGCAAAACTCTTGTCTCTGAGGATATTTAAATCTTTCTTGGCTCATGATCGTTTCCTCTTGGGTGCTGAAATGAAATGATGCCTTCAGCCTTTCTGAAATAGAGCTGTAAAAGAGACGCGTGACACTCTCCTTTTGACAAAATGATCTTCTTAAATCACAGATGTAATGGACTGTGGTCATAGTTAACAGCAATTCAAGTGCTTTAGTTTTAGAATGTTTTCCAACCTCTATCTCCTTTTTTTTTCTTAGTGGTAATTTACTGAGGGTATTTTCCTGATATATTTTTTCTGTCATTTTCCCAATACTTGCATTTTTTTTCCTGGTAGTTCTGACAGACCATCTGTCAAAATTTTGCTTGTTTTATAGCTGTTTCATGCTGTTATTTCTCTCTCTCTCTTTTTAAAAATGGCATAAAATAGTACACAAATAAATTCTCATTACTCATGGCTCAAACAATATAGAAACTTATAGAAGAACATGTTGGTCCTATTTACCCACTCGTATTCCTAATACCTTACAAGAAGTAACCACTGCTGTTATAAATAATGAATATCTGTGTTAGTCAGTGTTCTCCTGAGAAACAGAACTGATGAGATGTATCGAGATATAGATAAATAAGAGGAGGCCTTATTACAGGAATTGGCTCACCCAGTTCTGGAGATCAAGAAATCCCAGTCTGCCATAAATAAAGGATTGTAGAACCAGGAAAACTGGTGCCCAGTGCTGGGTCAAGAGTTCATGGTGTAAGTGTCCCAGTCTGAATCCAAATAAGATCAGTTCAAGCAGAGAGAACAAATTTATCTGCCTTCCCCCTTCTGGCTCTATTCAGTCCTTCATCGGTGAGAGTAATCTCCTTTACTCAATGTGTGATTAAAACATTAATCTCATCCAGAGACAGTCTCACAGACACACCCCAAAATGGGTTTTACCATTTGGAGTCCCTTGGCTCAGTCAACTTGACATGCAAAATTAACCATCACAGCATCCTTTGCTTTTCTTTCTATATACACATATCATAGACATAGACTTCTTTTACACTATAGTTCTATGATGCACTTGTTTAAAAATTCAATAATCATGGAGAACTTTGCATGTCAGTATACATGTGTCTACCTCAGTCTTTTAGTGTTTGCACAGTTATCTGTATATGAGTATGTCATCATTGTTTTACCTGTTGTTGGATATTCTTCAACATAGAAAACTCTACCAGTAAGTACCCTTGAACAAATATAGCTGTAGAATAAATCCCTAGAAGCAGAAGTGCTAAGTTAGGTGCATCTAGAACAACACAAGATAAGGGCAGGGATTTAAAATATTTATATATATTGTTCACTGCTGAATGCTCAATGTCTGAGTTAGGGTGTGGCATATATCAGTTACTCAAAAACTATTTGTTGAATTAAAATATTGTCTGCATTTTTAATAAAATGAGGCCCATTATATTGTATTAAGCAATTAAAAGATAAAAAAAGTTACCTTCTGAATTGATGAAAAATTTTGCTAAAATGCAACACACATTCCTAATTCCCAGTAGATGCAATCCTTTCTCCCATTGTAAATTAATGATAATAAAAGTAAAACAAAAGTCTTCATACACAGGGAATAAAAGAAGACTTCTTAGTTTAATAAAGAGAATATATCAGAAAGCCAGTTTAAGGGATATTCTAGCCAGCTGAAAAAGACAAAAAGGGGCCTCCCCTGGTGGCGCAGCTGGTTGAGCGCAGCGCTATGAAGCTGTCCGCAGCCTCTACAGCCTGGGTTTGATCCCGGCCCGTAGGTGAGGGTCCCAGATGGCGCAGCAGACCTTTCCTGTCTTGCCCGCTGCTCCCCTCAGCAGTGTATTTCGTCAGTCTGCCTGTTCTGTTCCCCACTCTGGCTCTGGTGGATCCTCTCACCCTCCTGCACATCTGGTCTGTACCCCAGTTCTTGTATGAATAAATAAGTAAATCTTTAAAAAAAAAAAAAGAAAAAGAAAAAAAGAATAATTAGGTAAAATTAATGGAAAAGTTAAAACTCTTTGCCTATAATATGGTTACCTTTCTTGACAATCCAACATAATTAGAGCCAATTAGATCATTTAGTAAGGTCAACATATACCAAATACAGAAATCAATATTTTCCTGTCCACCATTAGTAAACAATTGGAAATGTAAGGCAGAAAAGGATCCAAGACATCTCATCTTTGTTTTACTTGATCCCTGGCAACCACCTCCCATTGTCACAACCAAAATATCTAACTCAAAAAATATCTTCTGAAATTTTGTTTTCAAATATCCATTATTCCAGCTACCATCTCTTATTCTTTTAGGTCAATTGCTTAAGTAACCCTCTAATCGATCAAGAATCTGGGTATGTTGCACTAAAACTTTCCATGGCCATAATTTGCTGATTTAAAAAATTTTTGGACTACAAGCCTCTGTAGGATGAAGCA